GGTATACATGTCATTGGTCAATGCCCTTTTTAATTAATGTCCAACAATATGGTATTTTCATCGTCACATATACAGCAATGTCTTGTTTTCTCCATTCAAAGGATTAGGAATCCCAGAAGGACAAAGCTCTTGCAGTGTCTTACAGAACACTGCATCCTGATGGTAGGTCTGGAATTCGCCAAGAAAAGTTGGACATTCTGGAGAAAAAAATAAAATCAAAATATTGTCATGAATCAGACATAGACACTGTAGATATGATAGTTGTGACTGTATGATATGCTTTTGTGGGAGAATAGCAATATATACTCTGCGAGGTCACCCATTCATTTTTTGAAATTTGACTAAAAGTTGGTTCATACTAAACCTACAATAAAACATAATATACCTTGAATACATCAGCATCATTTCATAGAAGAAACATATATTTTAAGTATATATACAGACCCCACTATGGAACTGTGTTTATGATAATAGGACTAAATTATCATAATAACACCTCATTTGGAATATACTTAAGCTAACCACCTGTTTCAGGACTGCCAGTCACTGGTAGTGAATTACAAAGCAAGTTTCCATCTCATGGTTTGCATGTCTTTAGAAAGCTTCTGTTGTTGTGTCTCGAGGATGTCGCTGAATAAAGAGGACAATTCAAATAACAATTAGTTAAAACTATGACAGGTTATCCATATAAATCTTGACATTCCATTTAGGTAACTAAACAAAATATTAAATTCTTTTATTGATCAGCATGAAGTTTAATTGTTGTGTGTTTAATATGTCTTTGTATTAAATGTCACCTAAGTGACAGGCATCTGGTTTCAAAAGCATATCCGATGGTCAGTTTACTGGAAGTAGTAAACTGATTGCATAATTATGAAGTCTATAATTTTATGGTGCTTAATTACTGAATCAATAGACAGAGTTGTTAACTATACATTAGGTTTCCTGCTTCAGTATTTTACATAATTAACTATAACATCAATCATATNTAATACCCTTATTTTTTATATGATTTTTATCTCAATTTACAGTCAGAATTTCAAACACTTGTGATTGGATACTTGATATCAAAGTTTTACTTTCTACACAACGTATTAAACGTGTCGCAACCTTCCAAGACCGACTTGTCCCTTTGTCAAGCTATGACAGCACCAATATCAGTTCTGTATTTCAGACATGCATTTGTAACGAACCCCTGTGTGCAGGGTTAACATTTTGCCAGTTACCAAATACTTGTGGGATTTCGTTATGGCTACGGCATCCTAACTATAAATATGACGATTTTCTGCTACGATACAAACAATTTTGGCTCAAACCTAAATAGATTACAGTTCAATTGCTGTCATAACCAAGACTTACCGCACTGTCGACTGCATTTTCCAAAATCTACCGCCACAATCGGGTATGTTTCCGGTTTAAGGGAGCGAGCATTATTTTCCGCGAATTTCGTTGGCGATTTAAGCGCCGGCTGTTGTCTTAATGAGAACTAAAATTCTAGAATTTTAGTTCCTCATTAAGACGACAAGCGGCGCTCCAGTCATAAACGATGTCGAAATCGCGATCGGTAAAACTAGCATAGCATGGAATGAAAACGCAATAGATTTGTAAACGAGTGAAACAATACAAATGAACATAGAATTAATACAAATGAACATAGAATTAGATTCAAAACCAGAAGTAACTAATTCTATAACTTATTAACTAGAGAAATAATACAAATGTACATAGAATTAGATTCCAAACCAGAAGTAACTAATTCTATAACTTATCAACTAGGGAAATAATACAAATGTACATAGAATTAGATTCCAAACCAGAAGTAACGAATTCTATAAAAAATAATTATGGCGGTGATCCCCTTCCATATGTTTGGACTTGTTGTAACACGTCGATCGCTAAAATTCGCACCCGCACCTTTATCTGTGATAGCCAGATGCGGTACGTCACAGTCACGTGGCAGAACAATACAGTATTCGCATGATGAGCACAACGGCTATGCCCCGTCGGTACGTTAAACTGTAAAATGAATTGAATATCTTCACAACCTGTTTCCTTTTTTTTTGAGGTGCCATTTGAGAATCCATATGATGTGAACGATCTGGTAAATTGTATTCAGATGTAAATTAATAAATTGAATAGACACACATACTATTACGTAACTACAACATCTAAACCTGAACCCCAGGGCTGAGTCAGCTATGAAATCAACGATACAGGTTTTCTTTGATGGAGCGTGGCGTTGTTGTCGGGGGCCAACAAAGGGGTATTTGAACGACTGTTCTCAAAACATCGTGGCGGAAGGCGTTACCCGAGTTTGGCGGTACAACGGGTGTATTTAAGTGTGGGGAAATCGGTTCTGACAAAGTTGATGGCGGTATGCGAGTTTGGCGGTACAAAGGGTGGCGATACATCGAGGTTATACTGTAATGTTCCAATAATACCGTTTGGTATACGTCCTCGATGCGGAGTGTATACTGTTAACACGCTTCCGGTTTGTCCGTCCGTCCGTCTGTCTGTTAACACTTTCTTGTAAGCGCAAATAGTCCCACAGTTTTCAACCGAATGTCATATGAAATATGTGCTACATATATGATATGAAGAGTCAAAAGAGTAATGCCCCTTTTTAACTTCAATGTATTCCTTTTTATAACACTTTCATTTGAGCACATATAATATATTCACACAGTTTTTAAGCGAAAATTAGGATTTTTTGTACGTAGCTACACAGGTAGTCATATGAATATTTCCATATCGTAAATCTGAATCTCAAGCCTTTTCTACCAGAGGTATGGCCCTTTTTGCGGTTTTTTTATTTGGTATAAGCCTTTCTAGTAGTGTGAAACTCGTGACCACGCCTAATTCCACTGAAAAAATATACTCCACAGGTGGAATTTCGCCATAACCTAATAGCTGGATTTTTTTTCTGGCATTGTTTTCATGAAACAATAGTTTCAAAACATATTATCTGTTGGAGCTAAAAGTTGTATTTATTTAAGTCACAAAGGGTTGTAAAGGCAACCTCTCCCTTTCGCTGTAAATCTTTAGACCTTTAGTGTCATTCCATTACCCTGTATCACCACTAGACCCAACCCTCGATATCCAGGGGTTAAGCTCACTAACGCTCTCTGAACCCCTGGAATATGTCATAGCAAAATTGAAGGCTCAGTGTGCAGCACCATGTGGACGAGACGAGACTAGTTGTGCCTCAAAATAATCTCGCGGTCGTGTAACCATAACACATAGTGGCTGTGAAGTCTGGCGTTGCTTCTCTGTAATCTTTAAAGAACAAGTATCAGACGAGTGATTGGTCAGGTTTTGTTACCAGACACCAATCAAATTTTGAAAAGACTTATTCCAGGGGAGTAGAGAGCGAAAGTGAGCGTAACCCCTGGATTTCGAGGATGCACTAGTCCTAAATGGGCAAAGTGGTCATATGGTGTAGTTTAAGGTTAACTTAGGTTTTTTGCATTGGTAAACAAAATTGTCCAATGAGTGCCGATAACTTCGTATTCGCAGTGATTATTTGGGAACTGATATTGTTAGCGTGACATACGGAGGGAAATGCAAATTCATCTGCAATTTTGTTTTATTAATTAAACAATCACTGTTTAAAGCGATTTGATTAAAACAATAAATTCCCGATTTCTTCCTTAAATTAATTAACTTTTGGTTAATGTAGATTTTTTTTATCAGAAGTTCATTTAAGTGCTCGTAAAAGAGTCTAGCATAAAAACATAAAAAAGAAAAATGCGAATTTTGATATTGATTTGATATTATGAACCTTGCCACCACTCGAAAGTGATAAATGGGATAAAAGTGACTAACCCATTCATCAGCAGAGTCTAACATATTATATTTTTAATGATAAACGCAGCACACACACTCACACATCAACACATACACAGGCGATTGCATACTGTATCAATTACCACGTTGTAAAGATGCAATTACCTGCGTGTGCTACGCAGATGTCATATCCATAAACCTATTGAACGTGACAATAAGTCAAGTTTTGCAAAACAACTGGAGTGGATCAAATATCGAAATCGATCCTCGTCTCCGTTGCAATACTCCAACCAAACAATACTCATTGCTTATTATAAACTAGCTCCACCGAACGTCAAATTTGTTCGTACACCGTCGTCCTGGTCGGTTAGTGCTCATAGGGCATTGCAATCAGGTACAGTGTATCAAAAATTATTTCTCATAATTTGTCTACAATGGAAGAGTAGTAAATATATTTACATTTTTCAGGTGAATAGTTCATAGCTATTTCTTACATTTGAATGATCAACTGACACAATTTCGTTTATTCATTAAAAGAAACAGGCTGAAATTTGCTTAAGCCTGGATTTACTCCGCCTACATGCATGTCCTTGGAATGACAAAAATGCATTTCATATTAACTGTTTGGAATTTTGAGATATTGCTTAGACCTGTAATTAAGTTAGGTAAGTAGGAAATGGATTATATTTTTCAATTAATTACCATATATTTATTTAGGAGATCGGCTTCTCTTATATTTCACCGATAAATTACCTGAACTCTCTCACGTACGACCCCTCACTCAGGAGTTACTTTTTAGCAGGACAATTTTAGCTAACAAAAAATAAAGCATATCAATGAGGACATATCTTGTTCATGGTTGTAGTAACAATATCGATTACATATTTAATACAATGATTTTCTTATTTTTATCATTCTAAAAAAACGGCATTTTTAGATAAAAAAAACCACCCGTTTTGTAATTTTGGATCAAGAGCTTATATCACAAATAATTATAAAGCTAACAATGCTTATCGCGAAACATTTCCTACTTTGTCCAGTGTACAGATAGTTTCCCTTTCAGTCAGCCTTGTTGGCTTTGAGCTGATTTGTTATTTTATACTGTGTTTATATCTGTCATCATCCTTGACATAAGACGCTTTTACTTACAGTTTTTCCTGGTAATAGTAAGAACATTGTTACTAAACATTGGAGAATTCCACCGTTGTTTGTGTATACTCTACTAAACAATGGAGAACTCCACCGTTGTTTGTGTATACTCTACTAAACAATGGAGAACTCGACCGTTGTTTGTGTATACTCTACTAAACATTGGAAAACTCCACCGTTGTTAGTGTATACTCTACTAAACATTGGAGAACTCCACCGTTGTTTGTGTATACTCTACTAAACATTGGAGAACTCCACCGTTGTTTGTGTATACTCTACTAAACAATGGAGAACTCCACCGTTGTTTGTGTATACTCTACTAAACAATGGAGAACTCCACCGTTGTTTGTGTATACTCTACTAAACAATGGAGAACTCCACCGTTGTTTGTGTATACTCTACTAAACAATGGAGAACTCCACCGTTGTTTGTGTATACTCTACTAAACAATGGAGAACTCCACCGTTGTTTGTGTATACTCTACTAAACAATGGAGAACTCCACCGTTGTTTGTGTATACTCTACTAAACAATGGAGAACTCCACCGTTGTTTGTGTATACTCTACTAAACAATGGAGAACTCCACCGTTGTTTGTGTATACTCTACTAAACAATGGAGAACTCCACCGTTGTTTGTGTATACTCTACTAAACAATGGAGAACTCCACCGTTGTTTGTGTATACTCTACTAAACAATGGAGAACTCCACCGTTGTTTGTGTATACTCTACTAAACAATGGAGAACTCCACCGTTGTTTGTGTATACTCTACTAAACAATGGAGAACTCCACCGTTGTTTGTGTATACTCTACTAAACAATGGAGAACTCCACCGTTGTTTGTGTATACTCTACTAAACAATGGAGAACTCCACCGTTGTTTGTGTATACTCTACTAAACAATGGAGAACTCCACCGTTGTTTGTGTATACTCTACTAAACAATGGAGAACTCCACCGTTGTTTGTGTATACTCTACTAAACAATGGAGAACTCCACCGTTGTTTGTGTATACTCTACTAAACAATGGAGAACTCCACCGTTGTTTGTGTATACTCTACTAAACAATGGAGAACTCCACCGTTGTTTGTGTATACTCTACTAAACAATGGAGAACTCCACCGTTGTTTGTGTATACTCTACTAAACAATGGAGAACTCCACCGTTGTTTGTGTATACTCTACTAAACAATGGAGAACTCCACCGTTGTTTGTGTATACTCTACTAAACAATGGAGAACTCCACCGTTGTTTGTGTATACTCTACTAAACAATGGAGAACTCCACCGTTGTTTGTGTATACTCTACTAAACAATGGAGAACTCCACCGTTGTTTGTGTATACTCTACTAAACAATGGAGAACTCCACCGTTGTTTGTGTATACTCTACTAAACAATGGAGAACTCCACCGTTGTTTGTGTATACTCTACTAAACAATGGAGAACTCCACCGTTGTTTGTGTATACTCTACTAAACAATGGAGAACTCCACCGTTGTTTGTGTATACTCTACTAAACAATGGAGAACTCCACCGTTGTTTGTGTATACTCTACTAAACAATGGAGAACTCCACCGTTGTTTGTGTATACTCTACTAAACAATGGAGAACTCCACCGTTGTTTGTGTATACTCTACTAAACAATGGAGAACTCCACCGTTGTTTGTGTATACTCTACTAAACAATGGAGAACTCCACCGTTGTTTGTGTATACTCTACTAAACAATGGAGAACTCCACCGTTGTTTGTGTATACTCTACTAAACAATGGAGAACTCCACCGTTGTTTGTGTATACTCTACTAAACAATGGAGAACTCCACCGTTGTTTGTGTATACTCTACTAAACAATGGAGAACTCCACCGTTGTTTGTGTATACTCTACTAAACAATGGAGAACTCCACCGTTGTTTGTGTATACTCTACTAAACAATGGAGAACTCCACCGTTGTTTGTGTATACTCTACTAAACAATGGAGAACTCCACCGTTGTTTGTGTATACTCTACTAAACAATGGAGAACTCCACCGTTGTTTGTGTATACTCTACTAAACAATGGAGAACTCCACCGTTGTTTGTGTATACTCTACTAAACAATGGAGAACTCCACCGTTGTTTGTGTATACTCTACTAAACAATGGAGAACTCCACCGTTGTTTGTGTATACTCTACTAAACAATGGAGAACTCCACCGTTGTTTGTGTATACTCTACTAAACAATGGAGAACTCCACCGTTGTTTGTGTATACTCTACTAAACAATGGAGAACTCCACCGTTGTTTGTGTATACTCTACTAAACAATGGAGAACTCCACCGTTGTTTGTGTATACTCTACTAAACAATGGAGAACTCCACCGTTGTTTGTGTATACTCTACTAAACAATGGAGAACTCCACCGTTGTTTGTGTATACTCTACTAAACAATGGAGAACTCCACCGTTGTTTGTGTATACTCTACTAAACAATGGAGAACTCCACCGTTGTTTGTGTATACTCTACTAAACAATGGAGAACTCCACCGTTGTTTGTGTATACTCTACTAAACAATGGAGAACTCCACCGTTGTTTGTGTATACTCTACTAAACAATGGAGAACTCCACCGTTGTTTGTGTATACTCTACTAAACAATGGAGAACTCCACCGTTGTTTGTGTATACTCTACTAAACAATGGAGAACTCCACCGTTGTTTGTGTATACTCTACTAAACAATGGAGAACTCCACCGTTGTTTGTGTATACTCTACTAAACAATGGAGAACTCCACCGTTGTTTGTGTATACTCTACTAAACAATGGAGAACTCCACCGTTGTTTGTGTATACTCTACTAAACAATGGAGAACTCCACCGTTGTTTGTGTATACTCTACTAAACAATGGAGAACTCCACCGTTGTTTGTGTATACTCTACTAAACAATGGAGAACTCCACCGTTGTTTGTGTATACTCTACTAAACAATGGAGAACTCCACCGTTGTTTGTGTATACTCTACTAAACAATGGAGAACTCCACCGTTGTTTGTGTATACTCTACTAAACAATGGAGAACTCCACCGTTGTTTGTGTATACTCTACTAAACAATGGAGAACTCCACCGTTGTTTGTGTATACTCTACTAAACAATGGAGAACTCCACCGTTGTTTGTGTATACTCTACTAAACAATGGAGAACTCCACCGTTGTTTGTGTATACTCTACTAAACAATGGAGAACTCCACCGTTGTTTGTGTATACTCTACTAAACAATGGAGAACTCCACCGTTGTTTGTGTATACTCTACTAAACAATGGAGAACTCCACCGTTGTTTGTGTATACTCTACTAAACAATGGAGAACTCCACCGTTGTTTGTGTATACTCTACTAAACAATGGAGAACTCCACCGTTGTTTGTGTATACTCTACTAAACAATGGAGAACTCCACCGTTGTTTGTGTATACTCTACTAAACAATGGAGAACTCGACCGTTATTAGTGTATACTCTACTAAACATTGGAGAACCCCACCGTTGTTCGTGTATACTCTACTAAACATTGGAGAACTCCACCGTTGTTTGTGTATACTCTACTAAACATTGGAGAACTCCACCGTTGTTTGTGTATACTCCATTTAACATTGGAGAACTCCACCGTTGTTTGTGTATACTCTACTAAACAATGGAGAACTCGACCGTTATTAGTGTATACTCTACTAAACATTGGAGAACCCCACCGTTGTTCGTGTATATTCTACTAAACATTGGAGAACTCCACCGTTGTTAGTGTATACTCCATTAAACATTGGAGAACTCCACCGTTGTTTGTGTATACTCTATTAATCATTGGAGAACTCCACCGTTGTTTGTGTATACTCTACTAAACATTGGAGAACTCCACCGTTGTTTGTGTATCCTCTACTAAACATTGGAGAACTCCACCGTTGTTAGTGTATACTCTACTAAACAATGGAGAACTCGACCGTTGTTAGTGTATACTCTACTAAACAATGGAGAACTCGACCGTTGTTTGTGTATACTCCATTAAACATTGGAGAACTCCACCGTTTTTTGTGTATACTCTATTAAACATTGGAAAACCCCACCGTTGTTTGTGTATACTCTACAGTAAGCCCCTTGATTTTGTTTTAGATATCACTGGTGTGAATTTAAGAAACAACATTTCTATTCACCTGGTAGCTCACTTGGTAGGAGAGACGGTATGACGGTCCGAGGTCCAGTGTTCAAATCCTCAGAATTTAGATTTTATTTCATCGTTTTTATTTTTTCATAAAATAAAACCCGAAACATATGTTTTCCTTTTCGGCAATGATTTATCAAAGCAAAAAACACGCAAGAATTAAACAGTTTTCAATACATATTTGCAGTTGTTGGTAGTGCTACGGGAATCCTTAAGGCGTATGTTTGTGGGCTATTATTTCCAATATCTAACGCCGTGCCAGTGCACATTGTTTATGTGACCAAATGTCACCTTATAGACAACAGTTTCATCAATGGCATTAGTTTACATTGTTTTTGATGCATGTTAATTAACCAAGCAGTTTCCATTCTTCTGTGAAGAAAAATGAGCTCTCACAAGTCTACATTGACATGTGTGCGGAAAAAAATTCTGAATGCTGAAGGTGATTATCGCCATAGTTTATAGCCACAAGTAGAACATTTCTTGACGATACACAAAATCAGCTCGGCGCCATTGAATAGCCATTATCTACGTCTTAGCTAGGTGCCATTGTTATCAAATGCTTGTTATGTTTCAGTATGTGAATGTGGGAGAAGGCGTTACAACTAAGACACAGAGAACGTTGCTTGTGACAGGAACTAAATACAAGTTGTTGGGATCTATTTACACACAATGGCGTCAAATTCCAGTTCGAGCAGGTAAGGATAAAGTCCTACTTCATCATTGTCATACAGGTAAACATTTTAGGACCCCAAGTACATGAATATCTGTCCACTGTTTAGGACCAATGTAATGATACAATATAACAAACAGTGTAGCATGTGATATTACAGATTCTGAAAGGTTGTCATCAAGAAAGACGTGGAAACGAAGTGAACCTTGTAATGTGCACAGAAGCATTTAAGTCTACCGAAAGAAGTCATGAAGTGGCTCAATTATAAAGGATATGTTTTGTTGTTTTGTTAGGAAGGAGGAGATTCAGTATAAAATAGCGGGTTGTTTCTGATACAGTAGTAGTGTTGATTGTGCATAAGACAATGGTAAGGAATTTTTGTGAAATCGAAGATAATATTCAATGACAAGAAAAAAAGTCGTTTCTTTTAAACTTAGTCGAGAACAGTGATGAGTTGAAGTTCGCAGATTCTAAACTTTCGAAAACCATGTTGAATTTCGTTAAGGATTCTGTAATGCTCTTTGTTTCCAATAATACTACTATTAATGATGTGGCCTGAAAAAAATAATCACATAAATATACAAGACTGGTCGGTAAATTGCATCTGTGTGTCGGTCCAACAGATAAGTTTGGCGACATCCCTTTCAAAGTTCCAATTTCATGTGTTTTAGTTAATTCATAGATGGTCGGCTGGTCTGTTAATTGCAGCTGTGTATCAGTCATCCCACCCTCTTATCAGTTTGAAAAATATTACCATCTTTGCATGACTAATCTTTTACGCCAGTATTGAAAGAACGTTGTTATAAATGAGTGACTTTGCGAGGATATATACCATCAAGTAGACTTCATTATCAGTGACTCTATTGGTGTTGCTAGTGCTATAAGGGCTTGGAACTGTGAAACGGGTGCGTCCAATGATATCTGTTAGTGTTGCGTTAGCCATGAGGATTCGAAGTTTGAAAGGGATGACGCCAAAGGTGTCTGTTTTTGCTGATTTCGCTATAAGGTTTTTGAACTCGAAATGGGATGTCGCCAAGGGTCTTTGTTGGTGTTGATTTTGCCATGTGGGCTTTCAACTTTGAATAGGATGTCGACAAGGGTTTCAGTTGGTGTTGTTTTAGCCATGATGATTAGACTTTTGAATGGGAAGACGCCAAAGGTGTATGTTTTTGTTGAGTTTGTCATTAGGGTTTCAACTTTGAATGGATTGTCGTCAAGGGTCTTTGTTGGTGTAGACTTTGTCATTAGGGCTTGGAACTTTGAGTGAGATGTTGACAAGCGTCTCTGTTGGTGATGATATTGCCATAAAGGCTTGGTACTTTGATTGGATGTCGCTCAGGGTGTCTGCCGGTGTTGCTGTTGTCATGAGGATTGTAACTCTGATTGGATGTCGCTAAGGGTCTCTGTTGGTGTTGATTAAACCATGAGCCCCTTGCAACTTTGACTGGGATCCCGCCAAGGGTCTGTGTTAGTATAAATTTTGCCATTATGATTAGAACTTTGAATGGGATGACGCAAACGGTGTCTGTTTTTGTTGATTGTGCTATAAGGGTTTTAAACTTTGAATGGGATGTCGCCGAGCGTTTCTGTTAGTGTTGCGTTAGCCATGAGGATTAGGACTTTGCATGGGATGTTTCCAAAGGTCTCTGTTGGTCTTGATATTGCCAAAGGGGCTTCGAACTTTGAATGGAATGTCGCCAAGGGTCTCTCTTGGTGGTCATTTAGCTATTAGGATTAGTACTTTCAATGGGATGTCGCCGATGGTCTCTATTGGTGTTGCTTTTGTCATAGGGGCTTGTAACTTTCAATGGGATGCGGCCAATGCTTATGATATCCTTCAGATAAGCGGAAAGGTTTTTTTTTTTGCCCTTTTCCCTGAGCGTTATTTCTAAATCATCATCCTTGTTGGACTTTCTGGCTTTGTTTTAACGACTGTTTTTCTTTGTACTGAAGTACTAGTAATAAATCTGAGTGATTGCACACAGGTTGGAAGATATGTTGCTGGTTAATTTTGTAGTAAAATAATTTTTATATATTTTTATTCAAGAAGTCAACGGTGCCATAATTCTTCCTCTGATATGATTTCATTGGCCAGTTGTTGGTTTCCAAGTTTGACTTCTTTTAATCATAGGATTGTCCATATTAGCCGGCTTACCAAAGTTAATCAGTCTTTTAGGCTGCTTTATTCTTGCTTGACATAGTTTCTGCCTAAACAAAACAATAGTATTGTCATCTTAGCTTGGAAAGTGTTTTAATTTGTCAATAACAGAGAAACAAGTTTTGAAGAAAATATTTAGAATGCTGTTCTAGTAAGGAAGACACATATTTGTTATAGTCTTAAATTTCAGATCATTTCAATGATTTTTGAATTCGCGTTGAATGAATAACGCCTTTGGTGTTTATTGAAGGAAGTGGTCATTGAATGTTTAGATAATGTGATCTCCTGCTACCAAGACGCTGACTCCTATGTTTAAGTATAGACATTAAGTGTCAAATTACTTTGTGTATGGTTACTTAACAAAGAAATTACCATATAACCTTTTCATCATTTCCAGGTTTCCGCTGATGACGATGTTGTTCAGTCTGTTTCTGATACTCGGAATAGCTCTGTACGTTGTGTTGTACCAAGGAACAACAGTGATAAACTTGAAACCTCATATGCGTGCTATAGGGAGTATGTTTATAGCACCGCCCCCTCCTAAACCAAAACCAGTGAAGCGTGTCACCTATTATAACAGACCACCGTGGATAAGCCAACACGTGTTCGACACGTGTGACGACCGGTGCGAGATGATTTCGTCATCAAACTATAAAAATAGTGACGCAGTTGTGTTCCATGCTCCTGATATACATATGGGTACACCTTTGAGGAAATACAGAGGACAGACCTGGGTGTTTCATGCTATGGAACCGCCGTTTCTCATTCCAAGTTTCAAAAATTGGAAACGGTTATTCAACTGGACACTTAGCTACAGACGAGATGCCGACCTTTTTAATCCATATAGTACTTTTACACGTAGAAAAGACGTAGGGAATAAGGATACACAGCATATTATTAGGTGGGAGAATAAAACTAGGAATCTTGGATGGATAGTTTCACATTGTGGAATTGAAAGTCAAAGACTAAAATACGTAGAAAAACTTAAACAAACTATTGATGTTGATGCATTTGGCCGATGCGGGAAGCTTCACTGCCCGAGAGGCCAATGGCAAGAGTGTCTCGAAAGGTATAAATTCTATGCATCGTTTGAAAATGCTCTATGCATAGACTACATAACGGAAAAGAGCTTCCGGGTATTCGAACGGAACGTAGATTCAATACCTGTTACCCGTGGTGCTCCTGACTATTCTATGTTCCTCCCCCCGGGATCTTTCGTAAACACTAGAAACTTCTCATCAAGTAGAAATTTAGGTACATTTTTAAAAAGGTTATCAGATGACAAACCTACTTTTATGACATATTTTAAGTGGCGTCACTACTACAAAGCTGAAGATCAGATAGATAGTAAGATGGGGTTTTGTGAATTATGTAGGAGATTACATAATCCTACACAGAAATATAGACGTCTGTATGAGGATATTGATGAGTGGTTAAGACAGGGATCATTACCTCGACGTTCTTGTAGACCTGTTATAGACATAATATAATGTTGTTCTGGCCTTCTTTAATTATTGTGTATTATTCAGGGGCGTTGAAAATTGAGTTTCATTCAGGAACGATGACTTTTGTGTATCGATCAGAGGCGATGATATTTGTGTTTTTTTCATGGAAGATGACAATTGAATATCGTGCAGGAGCGAAGATATTTTTGTAGTTTTCTGGGACGATGACATCTAGGTCATAGTCAGTGGCGATGACATTTGTGTATCATTCAAGGCCTATCTTGTGATTCACGACCAACTTACATCCCCTACCTGGTGATACACACCAAATAGCATCGCTTATCATGTGACACATTACAAGTTTTAACACCTGTTCTGTAATAAACATCATGTTAACACCCCTATTATGTGGCACACATCATAGTAGCATCACCTATCCTGTGATACATCATAGTAGCATCACATTTCCTGTGCTACATCATAGAAGCATCACATTTCCTGTGCTACATCATAGAAGCATCACCTTTCCTGTGATACATCATAGTAGCATCACCTTTCCTGTGATACATCATAGTAGCATCACCTTACCTGTGATACATCATAGTAGCATCACCTATCCAGTGATACATCATAGTAGCATCACATTTCCTGTCCTACATCATAGAAGCATCACATTTCCTGTGCTACATCATAGAAGCATCCCCTTTCCTGTGATACATCATAGTAGCATCACCTTACCTGTGATACATCATAGTAGCATCACCTATCCTGTGATACACATCTAAACTACACGACAAGTTTCAACACCTAATCTGTTACTGGGACATCACGGTGAAGTGTATATTATTAGGACTTTTCATCAAATAAAAAAGCTCGCTGTTGGGTCAAAAGTCACCATTTCTTTAAAAACATTCATTTTTCATCTTCTACAGATCGATGGAGGATGTCATTCCGATGAAGTTGATGTTTTAAGTTTTTCTGTAACATTTACCGTTAAGGTTGTACTCGCAATATTTTAAAACTTGTTTTACTCCAATATCAATGACAAATATGTCGTTTAGTTGTTATGGAAAAGGTTTCCCCAGATATCCTCTAACCTTTGGTAACATTTTCAACTTCATCGATAAAAAAAAATGGCCGCCATGACGTCATAGAGTAAAATCTTTAAAACCGCTATAACTCGAAAACCGTTGATTGCACAGAATATGTGAATAGATAATTTCCATATCTAACTTTTTCTCACTACATGTTAATACAAAATATTTCAAATTAAAAAGTGCGCCCTTGGTCGAAGTTAACCAATTTTTTTAAAAACATTCATTTTTCATTTTTTTTTTTTAATTCTTCAAAAGATCAATGAAGAATGTCATTCCGATGAATTTGATGTCTTTAGTTTTTCTGTAACATTTATCGTTTACGTTGTACGCCATTTTGAATATTTCCTCTGATCTTTTGAAATGCTGACAATATGTTAAAACTTCAACGATCTTCTTCTCCAATTCTGCCATCGCAATAATAACCACAATTAATAAATGTATTCCTCTAGGGGCCCTTACGAACTTATGTTACTTTTTGGAGCAATTAATATTCCAAGATGGACGCCACGAACTCTGATTGGTTAACAGCCTATACCAATATATTTCGTTAACGATATCAAACACGAGGTTGATCTTTGGATATCATATAGAGATAACGAAGGGCAAACCTTTTCTTTCATACTGTTTTAACAAAAAATGTCAACTTCCGGTTTTCGGCAGGGGTCAAAGTTAAAATGCACTATATTGGGTAACAACCTTAAAACTCTTCTTCTTAAGTTTCACATGGTCTAGAGTCTTGATATTTATAAATAAAAATTCTGAGATGTCAGGGTATCAGTTATGAAAAAATGGTTGACATTGATCAACTATCAAGGTCACAATCAAGGTCACAAACGTCATGTGCTATTTCAAGATGATGACTTCAAAAAACTTTTTCTAATACAAGGCCTAGAGTCCTACTATTTGATACATTGACATGGTCAGATGATTGACTATCAAGTTTGAAAAAATATTGACCTTGAATGATATGTGTAAAAATATTGAAACCACTTTTTCTGAATTACCAATAACTCCAGGGTAACGATGTTTGACAAAGAAGCATGCTTGAATGAAGGGCTTTAAAGTGTGTGCAAATGAACGACCTTGACCTACTCCAAATATAATTTCAAAGGTGAAAGTCAAAAAACCATTTTCATTTTTGTGCGATTGTGAAGTGCTTTCATCACTCTCAGTACTTTGATTTGTATCAAGACATCTAATACACGCTGGTAATACTACATCGATTACTACGCACTCTCAATCTTAAAAGTCGCGACAGTTTACATCTCTACTGCTGTGGGTAAACATCAGCCTGTCTTTGGCATTGCAAACCCAACCGATATAGTCAAAAACCTATTTCAATTCATCATCCTGACGTACATAGTGGAACGACTATATTTTACGGACTACCTTCCTATACAACTAAGCCCATTGGCTGCCTATATTTATCAAGTCTTTCTCTGACGTCATTTCGCACTCCGGGAATCCCGCACTACTAAGTCAGCTACTGTAGACTTTCACAGGTTATTATTAGAAGGCCAAATCAGTCCTTACAGTGAAAAGCCCGTCAAATTGTTAGCCAACAATTTCTAGTTCTTATTCTTCTTCTTCTTTAAAAACATTAATTTTTCATTTTTTTTAAAATTCTTCTACATATCGAAGGCGAATGCCATTCCGATTGACTCGATGTGTTTAGTTTTTCTGTAACATTGACTGTTAACGTCCTATGGCGTGTTCATTATTGCCTTTTAATCTTTTTTGAAAAGCCGACAATATTTTTACAAACGATCGTCTTCTCCAATTCTGCCATAGCAATATTAACCACAATTAAAACATGTATTCCTCTAGGGGCCCTTACCAACTTATGTTACTTTTTGGATCCATTAATATTCCAAGATGGCCGCCACGAACTCTGATTGGTTAACAGCCTATACCAATATATTTCGTTAACGATACCAAACACGAGGTTGATCTTTGGATGTCATGTAGAGATAGTCAAGGGCAAACTTTTTTGTTCATACTGTTTTAACAAAAAATGTCAACTTCCGGTTTCCGACAGGGGTCAAAGTTAAAATGCACTATATTGGGTACCAACCTTAAAAAATCTTCTTCTCAAGTTCCACATAGTCTAGAGTCTTGATATTTGATAATAATGATTCTGAGATGTCGGGGTATCAGGTTTGAAAAAATGGTCGACATTGATCAACTATCAAGGTCACAATCAAGGTCACCACCTTCATATGTGCTATTTCAAGATAATGACTTCAAAAATTTTCTTCTAAAGTTCTACAAGGCCTAGAGTCCTACTGTTTGATACATTAACATGGTCAGATGATTGACTATCAAGTTTGAAAAAATGAATGACCTTGAATGACTTTCAAGGTCACAGAGGTCATATGTGTAAAAATATTGAAACCACTTTTTCTGAATAACCAATATCTCCAGGGTAACGATGTTTGGCAAAGAAGCATGCTTGAATGAAGGGCTTTAAAGTGTGTGCAAATGAACGACATTGACCTACTCCAAATATCATTTCAAAGGTCAAAGTCAAAAACCGTTTTCATTTTTGTGCGATTGTGAAGTGCTTTCATCACTCTCAGTACTTTGATTTGTATCAAGACATCTAATACACGCTGGTAATACTACATCGATTACTACGCACTCTCAATCTTAAAAGTCGCGACAGTTTACATCTCTACTGCAGTTGGTAAACATCAGCCTTTCATTGGCATGGCAAACCTGACCGATAGACAAAAAGCTAGTCTAAATTCATCATCCTGATGTACATAGTGGACGGACTATATGACTCTTACGGACTACCTTCGTATACAACACTGCCCATTGGCTGCCGTTATTTATCCGTTCTTTCTCTGACGTCATTTCATACTCCGGGAATCCCCAACTACTCAGTAGGCTACTGTAGACTTGCACAAGTTATTATTAGGAGACCAAATCAGTCATTACAGTGAAAAGCCCGTCAAATCGTTAGCCAACAATTTCTAGTTATTATTATTTTCTTTCAAATACTGCATAAACATATCAAGTGAGACTCCTTGTGGAAAATAACGTTCGTATTTGGCTGATGTATATTCATATAAATGAATATTTTTAAGATAATCATCGGGATTTCTACCTGTCTGACCAACGTTTTGTTTAGGGATTTCCCTCTATTAGCGCATGCACATAGCACACCATTTCTTTGTAAACAAAATGACTGGCCGTGTGAAGTAAGCGAAAGAAAATCGTTGTAACGCGCCAGCTACGAAGCGAAAAGTTGCCAAATGGTCAAAAGATAGCGCAATGAGTACGGAATCATTATGGCAGGTTGGAAGTTTTCAAAGGAGAAAATATCTGCCCTAGAAGTTAGTACGGTGCAGGTATTCTTCCGGATAGCCGGTTAAAAGCTGAAATGTATGGACAGAAACACAGATTAACTTATTTTGTTATGGTAATGGGCTTGTATCGGAGAGAGTTTACTTTATGTTTCTTTATTCAGTAGTTTATGAGAAAGGAAGGGATAAGTGACTGGTTAGTTTGATTTTGCTATGAGGCCATCCAAGGGATAAGTGTTGTGATGGCCACGGCTTAATCTGTTCTCTCCTCTGTCGGTACTGGGGTTCAAATGAGATACGTGCGCTATTAGATTTGCATAATTTATAGTATTCCCGGGTTCAGTAAAATGGTATGATTTAGTTATATTGCTGAATTAAATTATTTGTTTTGTATTTACAAGCAAGATTTAAATTAGTGCTAATATTAATACCCGGCCTCCTCTGCCGTGACGACGCAAGATATAAAAAAATCTCGTCGTCAGAAAGCTACGTTAACGCAGCTAGATTTAAATATGTCAAAATTGACGGTTCAGGATGAATAACTGAAGGGGGAGAGCCTACTAACAGTAAATAGGATCACATAACAAAAATATTTTTTAAAACGTAGTGTTTCAACAGTTCATGTTTTCACATGATGTTGACTTAAAATGAAT